AATCGTAATTGCCAGCACGTATACAACTGGTTTTAGGACGGTTATTTTCGTAACCTTCCTTACAGTGAGATCTTTTCAATGAGCTTCATGTACATTGGTGAAATTTGTGCTAGTCCAACGCGCTGATTCACTTGAAAATCAGCGTTGTCATCGCTGACCACAACTGGTCCGACGCACCTGATATTGCTCACCTTCTCTATTACTCCCTAATTCCATAGTATCTCTATCGATGGCCTATCTGTCGTTTTTGTAACGTCCTGCATTCTCCGTGAATGACTGTGCCCGGCTACACGTACTGTCAGCAGATAATCTGTGGAATCACAGACCAGCACGATGTTATTTGTTTGCATACTCAACGTCCAGCAGAAATACCGTTGGCCACCCTTAGTTGCGCCATTCAGTGACAGTCAATTTTTTGTTCTTCGTCGACTTACGTTCTATGTCGGTTTTACTGAATACGACGAAAAATACAGGTTCATCTACGAATGATCAGCAAACGCCGATGTTTCAGAGTTCTACAGTGTAAACTGATTGTTTCCTCGCTGATTCTTTTTGGCATCCGGAGGCAATGTGAAATATCTAGCATGTGCGCAGTCTCGTTATCTGATAAGTAGATTTTTACGTTGTTTTAAATAAAATCAGACGTCCGTTTTTTTACTGCGACTGTCAAAGCACGGTTCCAATTACTCAGCCAACCTCAGGCGAAATAACATAGAAAAAAATTTATATAACACGCAGTCAACAGAAAGAACGTAGGTCGTACCCTGCATCAAAACATGAAAGATTCAAATTCAGATTTTCAATACATACGATAAATAACAAAAAACTCAATAAAAAGTATGAAAGTTCAAGAAATCAACGTGAAGAGTTCAAAAATTTATTACAGTTTCAACCAAATGCTGATAACAACCTTGTAGAGTAACAAAAATATACTGAGTTTCGTTCACAACCTGAATCTGGGGACAAAAATCTTTAACAAAATTGAGCTCAGCTCCAAGATGCTGAATCTGCGCCCTGATTATGACATACATACTGACAGGAACCAGACTATCAGCGGTCCAAAGGCACACATTGCCCTCCGAGGACACGTCGGTGACACACTGAAATCAAAAACTGCGTAAAAACAAGTAAACAACGACACATTTACAAAAATGAAATTAAGTAAATAAAACATCATACCTTATTGATATGCGCAAACGTTTCCATAATAATGTTCAGTTTCGAGGCGGGAGCAAATTCTGAACTGAAAACAAATACAGCCAATCAGTAAGGCAAATATAATCACCAAAATTACCATTAACTCAATACGAAGAAACGAACACTGTATTCAAAGCAAATTCAGTCAAAATGCTTCCATTATAAAACGAAAAGAATTTATAGATATAACACTGTCCATCATAAGGACTAATTGTCCTGAATGTTAGGGTGGAAATAAATTTTAAACACCTTATTTTCGATACATGCTTAATAAATAAACGGGTTATGAAACTTCAGGGAACTCGTTTAACAACCTAAAGCAAGACTTTTAACAACAACGACAAGACTAGAATCTCGATGATGATAACGAAAGGAAAATTCATAGATACTTTCTGAGATAATAATCCTTTTTAGCTTTCTAATACCGGATTGAAGCGGTGTAAGAACCGGTCTCTTGCATCTAGCGGTCTAGGGGCCCATTTAAGCAGTCCACGGTCCCATACCGTAGGACATAACGAAATATGCCACAATATCAGCAGTATGCTAGCAAATCCATAAGATCAGGTTTAATTTTTCCATATGAATATGCCTACGG